GGGAAGGAAGGTGTTTTGTTTATGAGAAGAGATCAAACCTTGTGAATGCTGGTTGAAGGAATCCAGGTCTTCCTTTGTAGCCATGAAACCATAAAGCTGACGCTTTCCACCAGGAAGGAACAAGACAGGATGGCGACTCCAGGCGTCCCTATGCGTTCCTTGCTCTGCAAAATGCTTGTGCAGATGCTCAGCTTCAAAATAACCCCTTGCTGAGCTCTCAAAAATCAGAACACTCATACCACGATGCCCCTGGGGACCATAAGAGTGTCGAGCCTTCACAGCAGCATACGCACTAAAGTACTCAAGAAGCTCTTGGTTTCCCATCCCAAGCCACTGGAAAGCAATTCAGTTCAACATGGTTAGATCAAGATATCAAAAGAGTCATTTCCACCATAAAAGTATAACTTAGCAGGATTTTCAGAACAGTATAAATGTAGATAAAACTGCCATCCATTCAACATATACTCCCACTCTACATACTGTATATGCAAGCAATACCTTGTCATTTTCATCCTTTTCAAGCCTTGTGTTCATTATGACAACCATTGGGGGCCAGACAATTTCAAAATCTCTTTCCTCATCTTTTAGACCCTTCCATTTCCCAAAAGCTTCCCCTGCTGCAATAACCGAAGTACCCTTTCTGCGCAACTCCTCCTCAAGAAGTTCTGCTAGCTCACGATGAAGCTTCACCCTTTTAGATCCTTTTGTTTTGGCGTGTGTTATTAGAGGTTGAAGACCTCGGTACCAATCAATGGAACCTGGACCACCTTGGCATGCTGGACAATGCCACTGCCTTTCTGGTTCATTAAGCTGCTCAATGTTCAAACTATCCAGATCATCAAAAAATTTCTTAAACCATCTGCTTTTCTTTCTTGTCTCAATGCTCTTTTGACTGGCATCTGAATCAAACTCATCACTCAAAAGCTCATCCTCAGAATCATCTATAACATCAGCATCAGAATCTTCATCAACATTATCAATATCATTGTCTTTTTGGTTATCAAAATTGATGCCATCTTTTCCTTGATCATCTTCAAGACCCTTCAATGGAGCAGAACCAGCCCTGGCCTGCCAGTTCCAACCATGCTCTAGAGGAGGTTGAATGACAGGATGTGGGGCCACATAGTTCTCAAGACTCCTGTTGGATGTCTGTGGTCTCATGTTCTCCCTACCAGTAACTATCCTAGAATTGGTAGGCTGTGTTTCCCAGGCATTGCCAGAGGTCCTTCCTGATCCACCATTGGTCCTCATTCCTCCCCATGGCCTAGGATTTGAATTTTGGGAACCCCAAGATTTTGCAGCACTGCTTCCAGCTCTGTTCTTAGACTTCCTTGAGATAACCTCCCATTGACCATCGTCTTGTGGTGAATCCAGACTTGTGTCTGCTACCTGCTCACCCCACTGCTCAACCTTGTGGTCAGAGACATCAGCAATGTTTTTCCCCTTGGATGACAGGTTGTTGTCATGACCAATAACAGGCTTGCCACGCCCTCCTCTCGAACTCATATTTTTTTTATTATCCTCTGTTGGACTTCATCAATTAGTTAGAAGCAGAATGGCCGTCCAAAGATGCAAGAATCATGTTAAAAAATTAATTAGACAATCACCATCATGATGTAACAAGTGAGAATTAAAACTAAAAACTAACACTCATGAAACCTAATCAAACCACAAGATATTGTATGAGGTTTAAGAAATTAGAAAACCCATGAAAAAAGCAGCTTTTTCTAGCCATAATAAGAAGAGGATGCTCAAACAGGTACTTCACCCAATTGACAACACTATTTACTTTCAAATATATGAATATTAATGAATTGCAATTATTGATATTGTGATTACCTTAATCATTCTCAGCACAGAACTTCCAAGTTAAGTAATTTCTCAAAAGCCATCTTTATTGTTTGGAAACACACTAAATTGAGCAACAATATAGCTTCTAGGGCCCATTCGGTTGGTGGTAGTGGCTATTTCTTGGTCAAACTATAAAAACAAACTAAAATTGAGAAACTTCCATAGGAAGTTAGGAATAGTTAGGCCTTAATGTTTAAGTTTCTTTTTCCATAAGGAAAGAATCAACGAATACAAATTCCTTATTCCTCATTCCTCAGTTTAGTAGAAATTAAAAACTTTAGTAAAAAATTATCAACATTAAGGCTTAGTTATTCCTAGATTCTTACATAAGTTTCCCAAACTTAAAACAAACAGGACCATTTGATTTTGATTTCCCTGAAACACTTTTAAGAAAGAGGAATGATAATCTGCTTTGGAAAGATGTTCAAAGCAAACAGATAAAAGAAGGGGATTCCAGTTTTCCAGATCTAAATAAAATGAAAGCGGATTTTACAAAAAAAATAAAAGGGAATTTGTGAAACTAAGAACATACAGATCTAACACTTCACAAAGAAAATTAAAGCCATTGATGAAAAAAATCCGATCAAAAAACGATTATACAAGAAAATGACTAGCGCACAAAACTTACACACTTGCAGAAACAGAAACTACTAAATCCAAACAAACGCGCATGCAGATCATAGTTACTTCAATTTCTACTGTACTTATATCCCTTTTTTTTTTTTTTCTTTTTTTGAAAATAGGCAATGATATGCATGTTTGAGTCTAAAGCCAGAGAGATATTAACAGAAAGTGCATGAAAAGTGTACTATGTGCAAGAGAGCGTTGGAATCATACATAGAAAAGCAGATGGTAGTGAGGATCCAAACCGATCGCCACCAGGAAGTGCCGGACGACCTCCAAAAAAAGACAGCTGAGAGCGTCTACGCCGGCGACTAAGCTGAACGCTCCGACAGCGTCTTCTTAGGGAAAGGATGAGTATGAGTAGGACTAGGGAGAGTACGAGTAAGAAGAGTAGTTGCGTGGAAATGAAGAGATGCAGCCTAGGATTTAATAGAAGGTCCGTGGCATCCGGACTCCAAATGATAGTTGATTTTGGTGGATATTATCTAGGGAAACAATTTACCTGACTAGATGTTGAAAATGGAAATGCTATGGGCCAATCGGTACATGCTGTGCCAAAGGTCCTGAAGGTTATCCATATATATATATTTTTTATTTTTTAGACTTTATTTCTTATTTTTTTAACTTTTCAAATTTTTATTATGCAAATTATTAAATTCTAAGTTTTTAATTTTTTTAGAATAAAATCAAACGAGGCAAACAGGCCTGATTAAATAAGTTTAAATAAGATCATCTCATATTTTTATTTTTTGATTAAGTTATTTTGGGTATTAAGTTAAAAGGTTGACTGATAACTCATTTATGTGGGTTTTGCATTGGCTTGGATAAACCCAACTCTTTAAAAAATTAAAATTAAAATTAAATTTTTTTAATATTTTTCTTTAAAAAATCTAATATTAGTTTAGTATTTAATAAAAAAAATCTATTAAATAGATACTAACCCTAATTTTCTTTTTATGATTCAATTTTTATGACAATCTCATAAAAAGAGTAAAGCAAAAATTATTGAATTACATATGTGGAACTAAAATATATATCAGATAAATAATGCTAATACAATATTTAGAATTCATAATTTTATAAAAGTATTAACTTTCATTAAGAGAAAAAACATAAAGAATTATAAGTTTAAAAGACAAAACTAATATATATGTTAATATCTAATGCTTATTTAATATTTATAAGAAAATTATACAAAAAAAACAACCCTATTTAATATTTAGAAGGGTATTATATAAAAAAAAATAGAACTCCATTTAATATTAGAGTTCAAAAGGCAAATTCAATATATATGTCTATCTAGTGCTAGTTTAATAGTTAAAAGGGCATTATACAAAAAAATATAACCCTATTGCCCATTAACAAGGTTGAGAACTAGATCCCCTTAAATTTTGCAAGTCTTGTGGTTGTATCAGTGCCAACATCAAATTGAAACTCCAATCCTAGCATTCAATCTTCTTCTGGATCCTCAATTGTGTCTACTAATTCTTAGTATCAAGAAATTAACTTATCACAATAAATATTAGAATAGATATAAGTATACATACATTATGTATGTGAAATAGAAAAAAAATAAAAAATGTATATTACCTTATCAAAGCTTTTGCATTTTTAGGTGTTAGACTACTTCTCAATTTGATTAAATCTTTCCACCTTTGCTGAAAGTGGATTTAAAAGCTACAGTAGTAATAGGAATCAATAAGATATCCTTTGCCATGGCAGCCAACCTTGGATATTGATATTCATTTTTTCTCCACCAATCAAGGATATCCAATGGCTCTAAACAAAGCAATCTCTTTTCTTCTAAGTATTTATGTAACTTTGATCCATATCTACTCAATTTACTCGGTTCAAATTCATCAAAATCCTACAAAATATGCAGTAATAAATCATAATATGATATTCTTAAAACCAAATAAATAAATTGATCAAATAGTCACTTTTCCAACAAGAATGAAGGGAAAAAAAGTAGTAAGGAAATATGATCCATATGGTAAAGAAAAATAAATAAAAGATAAAAAAAAAAAAAGATTGATATGCTCACCTCATCATAGACTAAAGGACTCTTAAAATTGACAGCACTATGAAAGACAATTCCTATAGCTTCAAAAGTCTTGTCCTCATTGTGTGAATATTCATTGTAAAGACTCTCCAACAATTTCTGGCATTCTCATACTTTGCCAATTGTGTTGTCTCATCCAATTTCATGTAACAATGTTTTACATAATCCAATTTGAAATGAAGATCAAGAATTATAGCAAAAGCAAGCACCAAACTATAACAATCCCAATACTTACCAAATTTAATCTTCATATTTTTTGCCATTACCCTCACCTATGGATCATGACTTCCCATCTTCATCTATAACGTCAATTCAATAGCCCAAATATGCTTGAAATACAAGTTTGCTATAGGATATTAACAACCAAAAAAAAGAGTGATTATCTCACTAAATGGTTCCAAAAGTTGACAAATATGCTCCACTCTAATCCATTCATCAAGTTCTAAGGACCAAACATAGTTCCTATCCTCCAATGCAAAGTTAATAAAGGCTTCTTGGTATAAAAGTGCTCTTTTCAATATAGTGTGAGTAAAATTCCATCTAGTTGAGCAATCTAACCACAATCCTTTACTTATATTACAACCCACACACTTTGCACAATCCTAAAAACTTATCTTTATTTCCTTTGATCCATTTACATATTTGATACCGCCCTCAACTTCTTGACACTCTCATCAATCACTTTTAAACCTTTTTGCACAATCAAATTTAACACATGAGTACAACAACGAATATGGAAAAAATCCTCATTGCAAGGTAATGGATATTCCAAATTTAGGGTATTGCATAAAAGATCTTCATATTGTCATTGCACCTTGCATTATCTAAAGTGATAGTAAATATTTTATCCTTAATGCCCCACACTTTAAGCAAGTCAAAAACAATATTATACAAAATCCTAGCTAAATATGGGGAGGGACATGACAAAAACACAAAATCGTACTTTGCAAAATCCAATTCTCATCTATATAATGTGTAGTGAAACAAAAGTAACCTTGAGTTACTGTTGAAGTCCACATATCATAAGTCAAACAAATTCTGCCTTGAAGATTTTGCAAACATTTATTTATCTATATTTCTTCCTTTTGTGTATTTTTAAGCAATAATTCTTAACAGTGCTCTTATAAATTTCTTTTGCATCTACATTCAAGTATGCAAGAAGTTTTTAACATGCTTGTGCTCAACCCAAGAAAAGGGATATGCATGGTGAATAACAATCAATGCCACAACTACTTATAGATTTCCAAATTTGTCTTTTGTTTTCCCAATTTTCCAGCGTTGTCAATCAACATTTGTGAAGGATTACCAGAAGCATACGTTAAAGGACATTTCAAAAGATGCTCTTTCAAAATTTTTTATGCCATACGAAGATGGAGCTATATAACTAGTGCCACAATGTTTGCATATGGCTCTATCTTTTCTATCATTATAATTTTTAGCCAAAATGATGTCAAAGTTTTTCCAAATGTCTAAAGTTTTCCTTCTCTTTAACTCAAGTTCAACAATAACTTCATATTCTACTTCAAAAAAAATTAGACATGAAATTAAATTAAAAATATAAAAATTATTACATAGTAGACAAAAGAAAATACATGAAGAAACATGGTTGGGATAAAAAAATCCATAAATTATTATTTAAACAAATAAGCAAATACAAGAAGAAATTGGATCGAGATTGATTTTTATTAACTAGGAATAAATTAACAACTAAGAACAAACTAGCAACTAAGAACTAACCTTGATGTTCTTGTCCTTGTGCTTTTGATGGTGATAAGGATACTTCAAACATTGGGTTTTGATTTTCAATAGGCGTTCTCCTTTTCAGGAGATCTTTTTGATGTGACTCACTATTGCCACCTGATCTAATTTTTGTTTTGATGCAAGTGCAGAAGGATTAGGGAGCGTGAGATAAAGAAAGGAAGAGGAAGAGTGGAGAAGAGGAAAAGTTAACAGAAGCCTGAGTATGTGAGACTGACGAGATGGGAGGTGTTTGGGGGTATTTTGTTTATTTTAACTTTTAGGATTAGGAAATTAAAATTTAAAAATTAATTTTTAAGTAATCTCATAAAAAATGAAGAAAATAAAGTTCAAGTCATTTCAAGTCACTTGATCTATTTGTGACCTAGCCTATTTGGATTTGAGTAATTTTAGTTTAGATTATTTCAAATTTCAGGTTAACACATAAGAGTTTGACCCAACATATAATGAATGGATTAGGTCAGATTTTCAGATTGTGTCCAATTTTGCTATGTCTAAATAAAATAATTGTTTTAATGTTGAGTTAAACAATTATAGTATAATCTTTACCTCCTTAAAGGATAGCCTAGGATTCTATATTCCTCATTTATTACGACACTGTCACGCCCCAGAATCCAAATCCGAGACGCAACAAACGCCGTACACTCGTGAGACGAGTCCCACAAATGCACAAGGCTCGAAACTTAATCATATCATACTCTGATACCATCAAAATCTGAAGATCAAATCTTTAAAATTTACTCTGATATCATAAAATCTCCAAATACACTCTAGCTTACATGATCATGATCTATTTCTAAAATCTATATCAATCTCGAAATGGCTAGCCTTCTAACTCGTCACTTCCTGTGGTTTCCTCGTCCTCGATTTCACTTCCTAAAATGGTGAACAAGAAAAACTATGAGATAAACTAAGTAAGTAAAATATGAAATGCCCTTAATTACTTATAACATGCCAACCAGTATAATCACGAAAACAGGTACGAGTACGAAACGAAATAGATGTCTCCTCTATAGGTCACGGCCAGTATTATAAACCTCCCACTGACAGGCACACGATTTACTAGTGTATAATCCCACTAGCAGGATAACAGAAACGAACCGATTCTATCAGTAACATGTCGACATGTGCTAGCGTTTATAAACCTCCCACTAGCGGGCACACGAATAACATGACCATATCGGAGACAAAACAGGCAGAAGTTAACAGAAAAATCATAATTCATCAATCACTTTCAGATCATCAGGACAATCAATCAAATTTCAAGTAGGCATGCTCAAATCAATAAAAAAAATACTAATTTCATTTCAAATCAATCATGCTCGTGTAAAACGGGTTTAGTCCCGCCACCACTTCAAAAACAAATCAAAACATGCTTTTAAAAAACTGTAGGGGCATTACCATAAATTTACTTACCTCACTCGCATAAAACCGAGCACTCAATCTCAATGCTAACTGACAAAACGATCAGGAACCTAATCAAAACACCTCAGAATTAATACCGGACCATCACAAATTCAAATTGAAATCATCATTAAGATCACTCCTAATCCCAATGCTATTTCCTATCAATCTCCACATGATAAGATATCTCCAAATTTATTCTTATATCACAAACTAAACATTTAAATCCCCGTTAATTGTTGGCCCTCGGTGTGTGAACAGGAATCTATGAATAGTGCCGTGAACAGTAACTACACTTCCAAAATTGGCAAAACCACTAGCTAATTTCACGGGATTTTCTTTCCAAAAATCACAGCAGTCAATTAACACTCAATCACATAAATCCCACTTGAATTAATGCTTAATTTTATCCTGAAGCTACCGGAATTCCTCCCCAATTTTCTGTCAAATTCGGACAACACAGCCAGCAATAATTCATGGACAACTTAGCAACTAATGGGTAATTTTAAGCTTAAAAAGGCTGTCCATACCAGAATTTAGCAAGCAAAACCGAGCTTGGCTGGGGGAGAAGCCGGCGGCAAGTGCAGGGAAGAATCACGGGCTACCCAAAAATTAAAGAACCAAAAGGGAATTAAAGCAAACCCAAGCCCAAATCAAAGCTAAATAGATGATTTCTTGGCTGAATCTTACCAGAAAATCAAGGCAATTCGCCCCCACAAGCTGAAGCCGACGGACAGCAGAGGGAAAAGCAGAGCAGATCCGGAAGCTTCTTGCAGGGGGGGAGATTTCTGGGTTCCAAATCAGGTTCTTGGACAAGAAAAGAAGGGAAAAATCAAGCTCTCTACCGGTTTCCTCAAGGCATGGCTGGGTTTCTTTTGTTCGGCTGCAGGGGGGGTCGAGAAGAGCAGAACACGCGGGCTGGAGGAGGAAGAAAAGAAAGAAAGAAGAAGAAAAAAAGAAGAAGAAAAAAAGAAGCTGATCCTTATCCAAATTTTCCCTCTTTAAGTCCCTCAACTTTCAAACTTTTGGCTATTAAGCCCAAAACAATATTTCCTCTCATAAAAGTCCTTAACTTAATGTTAAAATATCACGAAATTTTGGGGTATTACAGACACATAAAACAATAAACCACATAATAGTCCGAAACTAGAAATATTTGAAAGGATAACTAAGAAATAACAAAAAGAAAAGCGCAAGTTATCTCTTATCTCTCAACTGTCAATTACACTATTATAACACACTCAATACCTTAATAGCTTAAAATCAAGGATATATTTAGCTTGATTGTAGGTCCATATTCAACCTTCCATTTGATGTAAAGCACACCAATCCATCCATAACTATTATCGCTTTCCTATCACAATCATCTCCTTTAGGAAGGTGCTCTTATTCCTTCCTCTTCCCTCTTTGCCTTAGGGTTCCTTAAGCCTTTCCACTATAGCTACCACTTAAACCACTTATACCTCTTTTTCTTCTCCTTTCACCTAATCCTCTTCCATGTCCAATCAATAAGGAAGCCAACATAAGTGAAGATGGCCCATTGCAAAAGTGCCTTTTTACTAGTTTCCCAACAAAGTTCTTTACCAAGGCTCTAGGTTGCACACCAAGCCCTACATCTTGCAAACATGCTTTGGAATCCCTCGAGCGAGATGGTTTGCACTTCATTCCTCTTATCAACTAATCTAATAGCACTCTTCGAAAACAACCATCCATTATTATGGATTAAGAGGCTTCACCATCCACCTCTTATTGAAGCTCTTGACCAAGGTCCATATTCATGCAGCACCTCACAACTTTCTTTTAACATATGCATTTTATGAGACAATTTTCCTTCACATGACTCAATATGCCACAAACATAACAAAATTTAGATATCATTTAATACTTAACCTTACACCATCGTTTCCCTCAACTTTAGCTGCCTTTTTGCCACCGTCCTTAATGGTCGTTGATATCAATCATAAGCTTGACTTGTAGAGTAAGGCCATATATCATATTGCTTTCATCAAGATACATCTCTAAAATAAACTCAGAGATTCACCCAACAAAGATGTCATTGCTTCATTCAATAAACCTATCTTGAAATCTAAAAGTTATACCTTGAAAAGGACATTTAGAGAATACAAGATCAATAGCTACTTTAGATTCATCATATTCCACTAAAACAATTAAGCTTTTTATCATCAAAAGCCTATAGGGTGTTTACTAACACCAAATCTCTTTTCCTCTCATTTGTGAAAGTGAAGAAGGACACATTATTACTTATTGGTATCATATGTAAACCATTCCTTACGCTCCATAGTAGTGTCGTGAGCTTGTAAACCAATCACATTCATTATATGCCACGCAAACACTATCCCCACTAAGCAGTGATTTTCAACTTCACCAACAAAATTTTCCACTAAATTAGGCACTTTGATTATCCCTTTCTATTCTTCTGTTAAGATAAGCTTTGACTATATTGCCTCATCTCTTTTACCATCCTCATCGACAACCAACATTGCCTGCCCTTACCCAAACCACCTAGAGTTTTGCCATTGCAAGACTTTTAATTCCCCCCAGACCAACACTATCCGTCAACCCCTAACCGACTCTTGCATGGGTAACATAGGTCCCTTTTCCCTATAGAGCTAAACTTAGCACAATTGACACCCAAAACTCACATCGTCAGTTACAGTAGATCACCCACCTTAACCTTACTTGTCCAACTCCATTACCTTACAACACCGTTCTCACCCCCTTAGCTCCACCATCAACCATAATCAGGGAGGATAAGGAGAGAATAATTGATGATTCCCTCATGTTGTACACAAAGGGCTGCTCTTTCACTAGTAGCTAAAAACCCTAAAAGAGTTATATTACATTCTAAATTTTAAAATAACAGTACTAAAATTATAATATTACCTAAGATTAAAATTTATAATCATAATATGCCATTAAATAAGTGAATACATATAATATTATAGATGGGCTCCTGAATGAAAAAAGTCGATTATATAAGAAAACATTATATTATAAATTTACAGTGTCATATGACATTGTAATTATATCATTTTTTATCTTAAAATGTTGAACGCTAAATTTTAAATATTGAATCTTAAAGGTCCCGTTTAGTACTGTTTTAGTTTTGGATTTTGAGTTTTCATTTTTTTTATATATTTAGTAATATATAAAAAAAAAAATTAGAGTGTTGACTATGAAAGAAAATTTAAAATCCCACCGTCTAACAATATCATTTCATTTAATTAAAACCTAATTCAAAATTTAAAAGTTCACCTTATTAAATATTAATAAATGCATTTGGAAATCAAAAACCCAATTTAAAATTTACAAATCCACCATATTAAATGTTGACACCCAAATTTGGAAACTAATTATATATTATAATATAATTGGTTTTCAAATTCATGTGTCATAACCCAATTTTAATTGGGGCTAAGTGAGAAAAGTATAAGTTCATGGACCATTTCGCAAGAAGTGTAAAGCTTGAAGAGCTTGAAGGGCTGAGATGAAGAACTAGCAAAACGACGTCGTTTTGCCTGCAAGTTGAAATAAAAATAAAGCCTAAGGTTCTGTCAAACCCTAGCTTCCCAAAAAATCAGGTTTCTTCCTTTTGCCGTCGACTATCTCCAAATTTCACAAAATTCTTCTTGATTTATCTCTAAATTCATTCAAAGTTTGGATAGACTACAACAACACAAGAAGAGATTTTCGGATTTGAAGTCCTTATCAAGAGTCGCAGAAGATTTTCGAAGTCGATTCAAATTGGGATTCCTGATATTTTGAAGGTATGAATCTAGCCTTAAAAGAGGGAAGATGTGTAAAGACTAGATTAATTTTAAGATTCCAATTTCAAATAGGATTAGA